ATTCTTTTTCAGTCAAGCGCTTATCCTACTGAGCCATCTCCCCAGCCCCCAGAAGTGTTTGTTTTGTTTTGTTTTGTTTTTTGCTCCAAATGCCTTCAAAGCATGACTGGCTGGCTTGTGTTGTGGGGATCGAACCATAGCAACCTGAGCCTGACCGCTTTGTTGAAGCAGCCACTTAAAGAACTGAGCTAAGGGGCAGGCCCCCCCCAATTCTTTTTCTCCAATTTTTATTTGGATATAATTGACAAAAAATATATGTATGTATTGTGCACAATACATGTATGAAGTTTGAATACATGTGTACACTGAAATAACTACCATAATCAAGTTAACAGTGCTTATCTTAGATAATTTCCTGTTTGTGGTAAGAATCTTTAAGAGCTACCCTCTTAATAATTCTCAAGTGTGTAGCATATCATTATTAATATAATTATATTATATAATTATTAATATTAATTATATTAATATAATTCTCACGCTATATAATACATCTCCTGGGTACCTGGCTTTTAAGGGGATGTCAATGATTTTTTTGTGTTTAATGTGTTAAACCTACATTCACTATTACATCTTATATTTATATGGAAATCATATTTCACATATTGCTGTCATACTGTCTTGCAGTATTTATGCTATAAGGGTTTTGTTACATTTTTAACATGAAATTAATCTTATTCCTCCTTTTGAGAAACAGAATGGCCAGGTGTTCACATTTGGAGACAATAGCTTTGGACAGCTGGGACATAATCGCATGGCCCAGACAACAGGGCCACAACTTGTGGAAGGGATTGATGGCCCAGTTTCACAGATAGATTGTGGAAGGTAATAAGCTTTCATTTTGTCCTATTTTGCATGGGCAGAAGTATTATATTTTATTTCTTTAGATGCAATTAATCTGGATAAGAACCTAAACTATATCACTACTTCTATAGAGTACTTTTTCCTCAAAATTTACTTCTATAAACATAGTTTAAAATTTCAATTTTTCATTTATATACTAGATTTTTAATTAAGTTCTTAATAAATTATTAGAATTCTATTGTGTGTACACCATCTTCATAGGAGTTCATGATGGGAGATGGGTTGGTAACAGAAAATGGTACTTGACTGCTTGAGTTAAGATAAAATTAATCTCATATATGTAGATGATATATTTGCATATGCATTCAGGCATTTTAAGTACTTGAATATTTAACCCAATGCATTTTTGTTTTATTTATTTATTTATTATGTATTTAGTACAGGGTTTACAGGGTCTCACCACACAGATTGGACTTGTAATGATCCTCCTGTTTTCAGCCTCCCAAGCACTAGGATTACAGGTGTGTGCCACCACACCCAGTCTTAATTGCTATCTCAGTGCACCCCAGGGCGGGGCCAGCCCAGCACATCAGGATTGAACCCCAGTCCCTGCATCTGCCTAAGCAGGCACTTTAATTTGCTGAGCTATGTGGCCGGCCCGCCAATTTATTTTTTAAAATGCTTGCATTCAAAATACAAATGATATAAAACATGGTAAAATCAATATCAATAATATTCTATCTTTAAGATTAGCAATAAGTTAATAGTTACTGTTTAGTCACATCATCTGATACCCTGTAACACTAATAGTGTGAAAGAAGTTGGGTCCTGAGTAAAGGTAAATTGGTCATTTTGTGTTAAAAGACATCATCTTTCTCAAGAATTATGAGTACTTGGGTCTTTATTATTATAATATATTCTCTCCTATAGTTATCACACCATTGCATATATCTATACCACTGGTCAGGTGGTATCTTTTGGTCGTGGACCAGGTTACACAAGCAATCCAACTCATCCGGAGACCCCAACAAAGGACTATGACATTAGCTGCCTGATTTCTGTTGATGGTATGAATGATCGTGCTAATTCGTGATACTGTATAAGTTACAGCCACTGAAGGAGAAATATTATTCAGCTTCCTTTCAAATGAGCCCATAAAATTATGATTCTTGTAGTCCTTTTAATTTAAATTTAATTTAAATTTTTATTATGTAATGATTCCTGTAGTAATTGGTAATTATTTCTAAAGATTAATGTAATATAAAAGAGAATCCCAAATTTATCACTTAAATATCAGGACAATATGCTTTTATATATTTAATCAAACATCTTCTAAAGCACATCAATACATACTCACTGTGAAAAGCACTGGAATGCTAAACTTTGAATATAGGATATTTAATGTGATCAAAATCTATCTTCTGCGTATAGTTGACTTTTTTAAGAGTATAAGTGGCAGATAAATGAGTAAATTTGGTTTGGTTATAGATCTGATTTATTTCTTACAGTTAAAAACTCTAAGATGGATTTCTGAATTTGTTGTAGATCTCAGAGATATTCAAGTCAAGCACATTTTTGCTGGAACTTATGCTAACTTTGTGACAACTCATCAGGTATCTAGTATACTTTCTGATTCTTTAACAAAAATTTTTTCCTCTAGTTTTCAGACTAGAATATAAGACAATCATTCATATATAAGGTTCTGTGTTAGAATATTTTGAAAAAATATTGTGTAATTCTCACTTCATTTGTCAAACTTCCTAACAGCTATAACCATCAAACTCAACCATTTTGCTTTTGTACTTTTTCTTAGTAATAACATTAATGATGGTAAGAACAGTAATGACTAATCTTAATTGCAGTTATCATGTGTCAGGTGCCAATCAAAATGCTCTAAATGGATCAATATATTTAATATTCACATTAACTCCACTAATTGCCCACTTTAAAGATGAAAATGTGAGACAAAGAAAGAGCATTTAAGGCAGAGGGAACTACACAGAGACAAGATCTGAGGCGAGAATGGGTTTGGTATGTGTGACAGAAAGGCAGCCAGTGAGGGAGAAGACAGGAAAAATGATAGAGAGTTATAGAGAGGGAGCTGGTGTGAGATGGTGTCAGTTTGAAGTCCAGAGACCTAGTTAGATATACAAATGTGGAGCTCAGGGAGGATCTCAGCAGCGAAATATAAGCATGCAAACTACTCAACTATAGAGGGTATTTAAAGCCAAGGGCCTGAATAATAATAGCTCACTGCAGGTATTTCCAGTGGTAAATGACCTCCCTGAAAACACACCACTTACAAAAGATCTCCTTCATCCCTCTCTAGAAAGGAAAAGGAAAACCAGGAAGAACATCCCACTCCCACTTCATGGATATAAAATGCCCAGGATGTTATAAAGCCTTATAATCTTTAGCCATGTAAGATAGCAAGTTTGCTTAGTGTGCTGGCTGCTTCGCCATCCACTGCCAGCCTGTAGGAGGCAGAGCAGTACTTACAGGATGTCCTTCAGGAGGCAACACTCAGAGCACCCAGAATCAAGACTGGTACAAAACTACTCCAATAAACGCATTGGTAGAAAACTACTCCAGTAAAACTACTCCAGTAGCAGGCAAGCACTGTGCCGCTGAGCTACAATTCCAGCTTTACCATGCCAATTCTTATTTTTATTGGTATATGTTTCTGATGCATAATTGCATTCATTTTGAGAAAGTTGTACACATATAAATTGTATCTTGGTCTTTTTTTTTTTTTGAGACAGGGTTTCACTGTGCAGTTAGGCTGGCCTTGAACTCACTTTGTAGCCCAAGCTGGCCTTGAATTCACAGTGATCCTCTGGCCTTGACTCCCAAGTGCTGGGACTACAGGCATGCACCAACACAACTAGCTTCATCTGAGTCATTCTTTATCTCTTCTGTCACTACTCTACCTTCTCCTCCTTCATCTTTAGAATCTACCTCCCTGTTTCCTATCACCTCGCTTTTGCTTTATTTATATTTTGAGTTTCTCACTCACACACCGGGCCTGGGCTGGGTGTGGAGGGGTCCAACATGCGGCTGGGTCTAGAGGGGTCCGATGCGCGCAGTGGAGTAGCAGCTCTCTCTCTCTCTCTCTCTCACACACACACACACACACACACACACACGTCAGGCCTGGGCTGGGTCTGGAGGGGCTTGAGTTTCTCACGTAAGAGAAACCATGATATATTTAACATTTTGTATCTGATTTAGTTCATTAAACATTATAGTCTTGGGATTCATCAATTTATCTATAGATGGCTCAAACTTATCATTCTTTGTGGATAACATTCCATTATGTATGTAAACCTTTCTTATCCATTCATTATCTATTAGTGGGTATCTAGGCTCTTTTCTTAATTTGGCTGTTGTGCATTGCGCTGCGTGGGAATGAATACAGCACTGCAACATGATGACTTTAACTCTTTCGGAAAGCTATCCAGGAGAGGATAACTGGGTAAAATGGAATTTCTATTTTTAGTTCATTTAGGACTTTCCACAGGGGCTGTACCAGTTTATACTCCCCCCAGCAATGTAGAAGGCTCCTTTTCTCTTCAGCTGCATCAGCATTTGTTGTTGAGTCCTTGATGATGACCACTGTTACTAGAGTAAGATTAAATCTCAGTGTTGATTAGATTTTCATTTCTCTAATTGCCAAAAACACTGGGTATTTTTTCTCCAAATACTTACTGGTCATTTCTTCCATCTCAGTGCTGAAATTGAATAAATCTATTTTCATTTTTATACCCCTCCAAAAAAGAATAACTTCACAAATTAATCAAGTTTTTTAAAAGAAAAAGCTATATAACAAATATTTTTGTTTTTCCTTCCTCATATATCTGGGTTAAATAAGTTATTTATTAATTCAAAGATGAAATGCTCATTTCATATCAAAGTTGATAGATTGTGGAAGCAACCCGAATGTTCATTATCCATTAAGGAATGGATAAAGAAGATGTGGTATTTTTACACAATGGAGTATTACTGAGCGATAAAGGATAAATTTGAGGATTTTATCGGTAAATAGATGCAGTTAGAGACCATACTCTTAAGTGAAATAAATCAGATCCACATGTGCAAACATTATATTGTCTCACTAGTATGAGTACCTGAAAAAGAAAATCTTTTTTTTTTTGGTGGAACCGGGGATTGAACTCAGGCCCTTGCACTTCTGGCAAGCGCATATTCCACTGAGCCATCTCCCCAGCCCCTGAAAAAGAAAATCTTAAGGGCACAATAGATACTGGGAAAAGGACATGAACCTGTTGAAAAGGAAGGACTAACAGTTGAGGAGGACATGTGAGGAGGGAGTAGGGGAAACAGATATATCTCTATGTGTAAGCAGGATGGTTTGGACAACTGTACTGTGTATTTCTGCTGGTTTATGGAAAGGAGCACTTAATGCTATTTGCTTTCATCACCTTTATTCAATTGCTTGTCCTTTTTCTCTTAATTTCTTACATATTTCTTTTTTCTTTCTTCTTCCAATTTTACATGCATATATCTGGTAATATGAACAATTAATTTGAAGATAACACTACACATTACAATAAATACTGTGAAATTTGTATTCAGTCTAGTGAAATTCTGTATCATTTGTAATTTTTATTTTAATACTGTTTTGTACTCTTTAAAAAATAACAAAATTAAAAATTAAAGAAAACAAGGTTAATATTCATTGTATGTTTTCTACTATAAACTTTTTTATTGTTGTTATTTTTAGGGAAGGGCCTACAGGGTGTTCAGGGTCTCACTACTAGATCAGACTCCTAGAGATCCGCCTGTTTACAGCCTCCCAAGAGCTGGAATTATAGGTGTGTGCCACTGCACTCAGTCTCATTTGCCAGCTCAGTGTGCCCTGGGGGTGGGGCCAGCATGACAGGCCCCCGGGGGATCCAACCGCAGGGCCCTGCTCCTGCTTGTAGGCACTTTAATCTGCTGAGCTATTTGGCCAGTGCTTCTACTATAAACTTTAAAAAGAAATACATAAAAACTAATCAGGGGCCAGGGAGATGGCTCAGTGGAATAAGTGCTTCCCTGGCAAGT